TCTCGAAATTCCTTATTCTTTAGACCTGTTTAGGTCATTTTTTCAAATGAAGGTGAGCAGCCCGGTTCACGGTTGGTTCTACTTCGCTCGCAGGAGCGGAGGGGAGCTCCCCACCCGCGAGCTGTTCACGCAAATGCCTTCCTCCATCAAAGGCTGGAAGGCACAATTCTTTTTTGTGAAGAACACTGGGTTTCCTCCCCTGACCTGGAGGGAGGAGACCCAGGTTTCTGATCCAATTCCCTCACCTCTGCCTGAAGCCGAGCTGGACCGCCTGGTCAGCTCGGAAGCCCGACTGAAGGTAAAAGAGTTTAACAATGCACAGTTCTGGTCGGCGGGGCTGATTCGAGCAGAGGTGAATGACCCTGCCCCCGATCTCCGACCTCTCACCCCCGAGGAGCTGACAGCTTGTAACTTCTTGGCCTCATTTCCCATTTTTTCCTTTTTATGGGCCTGGTCATATCACCCAACTAACCCCTTCTTCTTGCTCTGCAGTGAAGCGATTCTCCCAGCTACTGAACATTGGGGATCTGGCAGTACTAGCACGCCTACTCCTGCTCTATCCACGGCTCCCAGCAGCGCGGCTCCTCCTCCTCTGCCAGTGCCCAATCCTCAGATCGCAGCTCAGTCGTCGCCTGGAGAGGAGCCAAAGAAGAAAAGGAAGAAGACGGCGGCCAAGAGGGCTAGGACCGAGGCGACTTTCCCCCAATCCCAGGAGGAACCCTCAACAGCTCTTGCGTCTCACTACGGAGTGAACTCCGCCGAGCAGCAGGCCTCGTCCGAGTCACCTCCAGCCATGTGGTGTATGAGGAACGTGATTCCTCTGAAACCTCCTACCGGCCAGAGCTCGTACCCGCACCCCCAGCATTTTTGCTCAAAGTGGGAGCTGTCGATGAATGACCGAGCTCAGTTTCCTGAAGCTGCCCGGGAGCTCGTCCAGGGCGCAGTGCTCCCACGCGATGACCACTTCATCCAGCTCGCCTCCAACTCCGAGCTGCTGGAGTATTTTTACCTCAGTACAGCCCAAGTGATTCCTTAACTTAGTGCCTCCCTGACATCCCCTTTAATTTGCTGGTTTCTTATCCTGTATTCGATCTGCAGCTCAATGTTGCTGGGGCCGAGCTGGCGCAACGGTACGAGAACATGGGGGTCAACCTATCTCAGGTCGATGCAATCAAGGAAAGGCTATCGAGCCAGCTCGAAGCCGCGGAGGCCGAGCTAGAGTCCCTGAAGAAACAACTTGCGGATGCCAAATCCTCCTGCGAGTTGGAAAAGAAGAAGGTAGCCGAGCTGGCTGTGACTCGGGAGGCCGAGCAGAAAAGGTCTACCGAGCTGATAGAAACGGCGAGGGCGGAAGGGCGTCAGCTAGGCGTTCAAGAGTTTAAGAAGTCTGAAAGCTTCATGAACGACCTGGCCATCCTAAATGGCCCCGTCCTGCAGCTCGGCTACACCAAAGCCATGGCGGATGTTCAGTCCTTGAACTTGCCGGATTTTGACTTGAGTAAATGGCCTGATTACAACTCCCAAGCCGCCCATCAAATTGACAGGCTTGTCACGGGCTACTCCAATGGGCGAGACCTGGCTGCCTTGGTCGCCGACCCTACTCTTCCTGCGACCTCTCCGAGCTAGAGCAAGAACAGCAAGGGAAGAGCTAAACGGATAATACATAGGATAGGCCTATAGGAATTAGGCTAGGGTAGGGACCGAGTTGGCCAACTCGCTTTTGTATGGCCCCCCGCATGTATATGCCTTTTTGAAATGGAATAGATGGCCTTCTTTCTTATTCAACACTTGTAAAAATCTCTATTATTAAAAAGCTTTGAATACATTATAATCCCAAGTGCTGAACTAATAAAATGAAAAACAGACCTGTCCAACTGATCATTTTCAGCTCGGCAGGATACTAAAGAAAAAGCCTTAAATTTGAGTTGTGCCAGGTGCGCGGACTTCGCCTCTATCCAGGCGAGCTAGTTTACAATAACCTGCCCGGTCAGCTTCCCTTACCACGTAGGGACCTTCCCAGTTTGGGTCTAATTTACCTATGCCCAAAGCTCGGCTCACAGAGTTCTTGCGTAATACCAGGTCCCCTGGCTTGAAAGAAAGGTGCCTTACCCTGGCATTGTAGTAGCGTGCGACCTGGCCCTTATACTTAGCCATTCTTATAGCCGCCTCTTCCTTCGATGCTTGAGCAGGTCCAAGTTAAGCCGCATCTCCTCCTCATTATCCTAAGCCACAAAGTGTTGCACCCTACCCGAGGGTACTTCAATTTCTGCTGGAATTACTACTTCGACCCATATGTCAGGACGAACGAGGTCTCTTGGTGGCCGTCCGAGGCGTTGTCCGGTAAGCCCATAGTATGGTAGGCAGCTCCTCCAGCCAATTAGTTCGGGCAGACCCTATTCTTGTCTCCAGGCCGTGCAGGATGGTTCTGTTAACATTCTCGACCTGCCCATTGGCTTGGGGGTGCCCCACTGAAGTGAAGTGCTGCTGGATGCCGAGCTCCGTGCACCATTCCTGGAGAGAGTGGTCAGCGAACTGCCTGCCGTTGTCCGAGACGAGAGCTCTTGGTATGCCAAATCGGCAGACTATGATTTTCCAAAGAAATTTCTGGATCGACCTGCTGCTAATTGTGTTGAGGGGTTCGGCCTGTACCCACTTGGTGAAATAATCAATGGCTACCACCAAGTGTTCGTAGCCACCTGGAGCTCGGGGAAATGGCCCCAACAGGTCAATCCCCCATTGGAAGAATGGCCACGGGTTACTGTGAGGAATCATTTCCTGAGTGGGGGTATGATGGATTGGGGCGTGTAGCTGGCAAGACTTACACCGACTACCAGCTCGGCCGAGTCCCTGAAGATGGTGGGCCAATAGTATCCAGCCAGCATTCCCTTCTTGGCCAATACTCTTGGGCCAACGTGATTGCCGCAGATGCCTTCATGCAACTCGCGCAAGACATAGCTCCCTTTCTCGGGCGTTACACACTTCAACCAGGGCTGCAAGTAAGATTTCCTGTATAGGACTCCATGCGTGAGCACGTACTTCTGCGACTTAAGGAGGACTTTGCGGGCTCCACCCTGCTCGGTGGGAGCTCCCCATGAGCTAGGTACTGGACAATGGGATCCATCCACGAGCTCATCACCTGAATGACCGCGGCGTTGGATGGTTCATATGCCCGACTTCTGAGGACCTCCACCAGTATTTCCCGACCTAAGACACCAACCGAGGTAGAGGCCAATTTAGACAGGGCGTCAGCTCTCTTGTTCTGGCTTCGCGGAATCTGTTCAAGCGCGAACTGCTCGAACAGCCCTTCAGCTCACGCGTCTTGACCACGTACTTTTCTTAACGTCCTCTCTTTGACCTCGTAGCTTCCCCATACCTGGTTCACTATCAGTTGCGAGTCGCTATAGACTTTTATCGATCTAGCCCTAACTTTCGGCCATCTCCATCCCTGCAATCAGAGCCTCGTACTCTGATTCATTGTTAAAAGCTCTAAATTTGAACCACAGTGCGTAGGGCAGCTCCTCCCCGGTAGGGCTGATTAGGAGGAGCCCGGCCCCACATCCTTCCTTACTTGACGCGCCGTCCACGTACAACGTCCAGGTGGGATCAGCTTGTCCCGTAGCCTCGGTAACCTTCCCGTCCTGGGCCGTCTCTCTGGCCAGTTCAGCTTTGACTGCTTTTCCAGAATGCTCGGCCTCGGCAGCGTTTAATGCCTGTCCCACCTCCGCTGCCTGTCCGACCTCGGCAGTTTCTTGGGTCTGTTTGGCCTTAGCTGCTTCTCTGGCCTGTTCGCCCTCGAGCTTCTTTGGCCTGCTCGGCCTCAGCTGCCTCTTTGGACGGTCCGACCTCCGCTACCTGGATGGCCTAGATGATCTCGAGCGTCTCCAGCCTGTAAGACTTCTACTGCTTCTCGGGCCTGGGTGGCCTTGGTAGTTTTTGGGGTCTGTAAGGTTTTGGCTGCTTATCCGGTGTGCGCATCTTTAACAACTTCTCCATCCTTCCTGGCCTGTATGTCCCTAGCCTGATCGACCTCCGCTTCGGGCGATCCAAAGGAAACGCCATCCGCTATGAAGTCCGCCAATACTTGGGCTTTGATGGCCGTCCGGGCTGATATCCCAGGTCGTATTCTGACAATTCCACAGCCCACTTCACCATTCAACCTGAGGACTCGGGTTTGGAAAGGATCTGCTTCAGGGGTTGGTCCGTCATGACCACTACGGGGTGAGCTTGGAAGTACGTCCTGAGCTTCCGAGCTGCATGTACTAATGCCAAAACATATCGTTCTACCGCCGAGTACCTTGCCTCGGCCCCCTGTAGGGCGCGGCTGACATAATATACGGGTTTCTGCACTTTGTTTTTCTCTCGCACCAACACCTCTAATGGCCCCTTCTCCCACAGCTACGTAGATGAACAGGGTCTCCCCTAGCTCGGGAGAGGTCGGGGCTGGCAACCGAACGAGGTGGGCCTTTAGTTCATCGAACGCCTTCTGGCACTTCGGGCTCCACTCGAACTACCGACCTCCTTTCAGAGCCTTGAAGAAAGGCGACCCCGAAACTGCCGATTTGGACAGGAACCTGTTCAAGGCTGCCATCCTCCCTGTCAGACGTTGCACCTCCTTAATATTCCGGGGTGGAGCCATGTCCATGATGGCCTTGATCTTGTCCGGGTTAGCTCTCACCCCTTCTTTAGAAATCATGTAGCCCAGGAATTTTCCCGACTTGACCCCAAAAGTACACTTCTTTGGGTTTAGCCGCATTCGTGAGCTCCGAAGAACCTCAAAAATTTCTCTCAGGTCAGAAATGAACTGCTCTTGGGTTCGACTTTTCACTAACATATCGTTCACATAAACCTCCAGGTTTCGGCCGATCTGATTTTTGAACACCTGTTTACCAACCTCTGATAGGTCGCGCCCGCATTCTTTAGCCCGAATGGCATGGTGACGTAACAATATGTGCCGTCCTCAGTGATAAACGAGGTCTTCTCCTGATCCTCCTTATCCAAAGCTATCTGATGGTACCCCTTGAAGGCGTCCAAGAAACAGAAAATCCATAGCCAGCTGTTGAGTCCACGAGCTGGTCAATCCGTGGAAGTGGGTAACAGTCCTTCGGGCAAGCCTTATTTAAGTCAGTGAAATCCACACACATCCTCCAAGCTCTCTCCTCCTTCTTGACCAGCACCGGATTGGCTAGCCAGGTCGGGTAGTAGACTTCCTTAACGATCTTAGCCTCCAGCAACTTACCCACCTCGCTTTTGACGACCTCTTTTCTCTCTGGAGCAAAGTTCCTCTTCTTCTGCTTCACAGGTCGGACGTTGGGATCCACATGTAACCTATGGACTGCCAGCTCGGTGGGGATTCCTGGCATGTCATCCGCACTCCAAGCAAAAATCTCAGCATATTCCTCCAAGAGAGATTCTAAAGAGCATCTGGTCAGCTCGTCTAGGCAAGTGCCGACCCTCACCGTGCGCTCAGGTCAGTCGGGGTGGACGGACAGTTCGGTCAGCCCCTCATCCGTCTCCAATCTTTCTCCTTTCTCCATGGGCTCCCAGGGCTCTAAACAAAATGTTTGAGCTACCAACTTCTCCTTGCCCTTGAGGGTGGCGATGTAACATGCCCTGACCACCTCCGGATCCCCGAGTACCTCAGCCACTCCAGCAGGAGTAGGAAACTTCATACTGAGGTGCAAGGTGTAGCAAACAGCTCGGAGGGCATTCAGTGTAGGCCGTCCCAGTATCATATTGTATGACGAGGGTTCCTAAACCACCGCGAAATTTATCGGAACAGTTCGACACTTCGGGGATACTCCTACCGTGACCATAAGAGTTATCATTCCCTATGGCCTCACGGGAGGGCCTGCAAATCCGATCAACGGAGTTTGGACCGGGACGAGCTGTCTATCCTCCAGCTACAGCTCCTTAAAAGTCTTGTAATATAGCACGACTATGGCACTTCCGTTGTCTATGTATACCTTCTTCACCTTGTAATTACAGGTGATGACTTCTATCACAATGGCTTCATGATTGTTGGAGGCCAGAGGGACTGCGTCTTCAGGTCTATAGATAATTTCCTCGTACATCTTCAACCGCTTGGTCGAGCTCTCCCCCGTGGGAGGGGGCCGATTGTGCCGCCGAACTGTATGACTATCCCCGCCAGCAGGTCCTCCGGCAATAGTGTTAATCACCCCCGCCAGATTCTGTGTTTCCTGCTCCGAAGCTCGGCCATGAGGCCCCTGAGGCCGGTCCCGGGGTAGCTCGGGCGTTCTGACCTGGGCCTTCCTCGTTGCTGGTCAGCTCGTTCATCTCGTATGAACTGCCCAAGGTGGCCTAGTTTGATCAGTTTTTGAATGTCTTTCTTGAGGTGACGACAATCCTCCGTATCGTGCCCCACATCTCGATGATAAGCGCAATACAGACCTTGGTCCCGTCTGCTTTTGTCCCCGACCAAAGGTCGAGGAGGTCGGGAGAGCCCCTCCTGTTCCATCACTGCGAGCACCCGAGCTCGAGGTGTCGTGAGGCTAGTCCAGGACTTATCTCCTCCCACTGGGCGGCTCCTGGGGAGGCAGTCATAAGCGTTCTTCCTTCCCTGGCCAGGCCGTGCATCCACCTGGTCGGCGCCCCTTCTGCGCTTGTCATCACTCAATCTTTCTTGTGCACCCTTAAGGCGGTTGGCTTCCTCCGCGTTGGCCTTCTCATGAGTTCGGTCTAGCATTTCCCGAACTGACTTGGGAGGTCTCTCCACGAGCTCGGTGTAGAGCTTCTGTTTTCGCAACCCGTTAATGAAGGCAGCCATGACCAACTTGTCATCTCGATTTTGAACTTGAAGGGACTCGTTATTGAAACGCTCCATGTATTCGCGCAAGGACTCCTCAGGCCTTTGCTGGATAGTTATCAGATGCGCAGTGCTCTTGGAGAAGGCTCGTGACGAAACGAACTGGGCCGCAAACATTCGCGCGAGCTGGGCAAAGGACCGGATGGACCTGGGAGGAAGCCCCTGAACCACTGACGCGCCTTACCCTCCAAAAACATTGGGAAGGTCTTGCACCTGACCGCATCTGCAGCAGTTTGCAAGCGCATTTGGGTCATGAAGGCAAACAAGTGATCCTCCGGGTCCGTGGTCGCATCGTAAGACTTCATGCTTGGTATCTTGAACTTCGCTGGCAGTGGGTAGTCCTCGATGTCAGGGACGAAGGGGGAGGCGATATACCTGTCTGCCTCTGGGTCTAAAAGCAGGTCCAGCTCGTCCTGCACCTGGAGTTGCTCCTTCCGTGGTGAGAGTTCCTCCTTAGAACACCTCCGGAAGGGGTCCGGGTGCTCAGTTCTGGAGTGCCTGTGAGAAGGTTCTACAACGTCAACCTGGTCGCGCGTGAGCTCCCGGCGTACCCTTTTTGGTCAAGGGCTAGAGCTCCCCGTCCTAGATTCGGACGGCCCATCTCCCTAGCTCTTTGGGCCCTGGCCGGGATGACCTACTGCCTGCCCCTTGAGATAATTCACAATTGCCTCAAAAGTTGGCAGGTTTCCCGCCACCGCCTGGACCAACTGCTCCGGCAGAATTCGTGAAAGCCCCACACCCCGTCTCCTGGAGTCGGTCCTCGTGAGGGGTGTTGGGGCTTGTTTCCCTCGTCCCCTTGGAATCCATCGGCATTCCTCTGAGACCACATTCTTGGCATGATTCGCAAGAGAAAATTACGTGTTTCCCACAGACTGTTTCGCCAAGACGCGGAATGCGCGCCAATTGATGCGACAGCCAAAAACCAGATCCGAGCTGAACTGTTGCAAGCCGAGCTGGGTAGGTGCCGCCGACCTGAGAGGGTGAACCGAGCTGGTGATCCTGCAAGAAAGGATGCAGGCGGGACTGGTGTCCCCGGAATAGCTCCGACGGTCAAGTCAGTGAAGCTTGTGGACGGAGTAATAGTACAGAATATTTGTGTATGCGTACCTTGTGTAGTCTTGTAGCGTCGTATATATAGGACTGAATGGGTTGTAGTTTCCTTATAGGAGTCAAAATCCCCTTAGAGTTCGGAGTCTTCTTAGGGTTTTATGCGACGACCCCTAAATGTTCGGAGGCGGCGGCCCACCAGGCCCCCACCGGAGGCAACTGATAAGGCCGAACTGGCTCCCGCATGCCGAGCTGGCCCATGCCAGCTGCGAGGTGTCTATCGCCGACTTGGTGCGTGTAGTCTGCCTAGCTGACACGTGTCACACGTGGATTTGCCCCACTACAGCCTTCTTCATTGAGATATTTGCATATCAAGTCAGTGGTAGAAGCAAAATAGGATCCTGATGATAAGTCACAAATTTGTCATTTATTTTATAATTAATTTCTCCTATTATCTTACCAAATGTGAAATAATTGTCAGATTCTACTCACTTTTAAAAATTTACGATTATTGCAGGGAGTGGAACAAAATACCATAAAAAGGTGCCAATCTGACACTAACCAGCATAAGAGTTTGAGTAGCAGTCAACGAGATGGAGGCTGATTCCATTTTGTTTCCTTGTTGTGTGGAAGATATGCGGCAGCCAGGGGCAATTTTGGAAGACTGGGCCACCCTTCTTCTTGTTGGCGGTTTCCAAAAAGGAGGAAGTAAAAAGAGACGATGAGTCTTCCTTTTAGTCCTTACTAGTTTTTTCAGCCTCACGCGATGCGTGAGGATGTCCTGGGTCTGTGTTAAACAAGTTCAAATGAAGACAAGTGAAATAATATAAAATAGTTATCTATTAAATACATGATGGGTGCTAGTAACTATGGGGAATTTAACTTTAGGTAAATTGGTTATTGTCGTTATTCGTTTACTCAATTTATTTATGAAGTTGAAGAAATTTTTGTTACCTACTAGACTTGGACTACTAATTGACTTAATGTGAGATATCGATACGATATATTAGTATTTCATATCTGCAATAAATTATCAACGATCTAACAGTTGTCATGTGTGTAAGTGTGTATTTTTTCCTAATTGCACTGATAAATAAGACCTTGAAATTAGGTTGTCTAACATTCTTAATGTAGCATTAATTAGTAAGTAATGACTAAAATTAGGTAGAATTATAAGGCATGGTTATCTAACTTTTTTAATGTAGCCTTAATCACTAAATAATGCCTAAAATTATAAAATGGGTTTATCATTTTCTATTGTTTGTTATACTTGAATGAGCTTTCAAACATATTTAAAAATATGTTTAGACCAATGTAAAATTAAATTAATTTTTTTGTATATTCAATGGCTTTTTTCTTTTACATTAATAGGTCTGGATGCATGACATATAATTTTTATTCAACTCTATCCCACCATGAGCTCGGTTTATATATACTATCATTTCTCCTAATCAAGATTTCATATTGGATACTTTTTTTTTGTTGCAATTTAGATGATTGTTTGATTGATAGATTAAAAGTGTTCAAGAATGAAGGGAGCAACAATGGTTTCTTTGGACAAGACATCATCTATTGAAAATGAGTCTCGGATTCTCAATATTGAACGACTTCAACTTGTAGGGGTAAATATACATATTTTCTTATTTTTCTTTCTTTCTTCCCTTTTTTTGGTTGTCTATTCTTTGTTTATTTTTGGAGATTTTGATGATTTTGGTTTTGATAATTTGTATAGGAGGCAGCACTTTATGTGGTGAGTACGAGAAGTATGGAAGAAGCTCTTTGAATTTTCACTAACATAATGGCTTAGATATATACAATATCCAACGATTTCTTGAGTTAAAAATTTTTCCTTTCTATTTTCTAGGTTCTTTGGATCTATAATTCTTACTCATTTGATGATTCTTTCGGTAACTTGGTTGATGATTTTTTTTGTTGTAATCTGTATCATAAGCTGCAAAATTATAGGCTATTTTGTATTCTTAAATCATGTGCTAAAATAGGTGAGTTTCTCTGTTTCTTTTTCTTTTTAATAAAAGTGGTATTCAAAACCAAGAGATAGTTGGAATCTTTAAATGGTGAATTCCAAATCGACTTGTGTTTAAGAATAGATTGAAATAAAATGCTAAGAAATAAAGGATGGATCTATTTTACAAATGGGGTGACAAACTCGTGTTTAAAATTAGAAAATATGTATTTATAGAATCATTTTTTCATACTTGAAAGAAAAAATTGGGACTATTGTAAAAGTTCAAGAACTATCCATTTCTTAAATTGCATATTTTTTTTATGAAGAAAGTTTGTCCTTTTGCAAAAAAAAAAAAAAATGTTTACACGGGGATCTCTCTATACTTGCTGAAAAACAAGAATAGAACCAAGAACTGAATGAGGGGAATTGCTGACCGCCAAAATGTTCCCATCCAAGAGCCCCACGCGGACATCTATCTGTGTTGTCCACAAAAGAGAACAATAAGTCAACAAAAATTAGGGTAAAAAAATAACAAAATTACAAAACAACCAAGCAAATATAACATATATGTTGAATGAAGGGAAAAATAAATGGCATGATTGGAAAATATGGCAAACACCTAAGGCTAAACTAATACTCATAAATAGCTAAGGTGGCCCATATCTCCGGATCACAAGGGGCAACAATGAATCAAACAAAAGAGGTACAAAGAACAAATAAATTATAAACGAACCACAATACTAAAGCATGCGTTTTCCGGTGTCCTGAGTAAGGGAGAAACAGCAAATGGCATTACCGAAAAATGAAGCATCACTAAGGCAAATGCTAATCACATGAAGAGGAAATTGCAAACCACGAGGAAATGTTTCCATCCAAGAGAGCCACGCGGACAGAAA